TGGCTCCTAAGATACTTATTTCTGTCAAATTTCTTCGCTATACTCGTATTTTTACGCCAATAATGAGCGTTAAAGACATTTTCAGAAGGGGACCTTATATGGGCGGATAGGGGCAATTATGGACCGATCCACATAAAATTTGGTTGGGGTAGGATCAATTACGGACCGATACACATATAGTTTGGTGGAGAGATATTGGCTTGCATGAAACTTACGTGTGTCAAATTTCATCGCTATATTCGTATGTTTAAGCCAGTAATCAGCATTATAGTGATTTTCCAAAGAGGACCTTATATGGGGGGTAGGGCCAATTATGGACCGATCCACATAAAATTTGGTAAAGAGATTTTGGCTCATATAAAACTTACTTCTGTAAAATTTCATCGCCATATTCGTATTTTTAACCAGTAATGAGCGTTAAAGTAATTTTATGGAGGGGACCTTATATAGGGAGTAGGGGCAATTATGGACCGTTTCACATGAAATTTTGTGGAGAGATTTTTACTCGTATGAAACTTACTCATGTCAAATTTCATCGCTATACTCGTCTTTTTACGCCAATAATGAGCGTTAAAGCCATTTTCTGAAGGGGACCTTATATGGGGGGTAGGGTCAATTATGGACCGATCCACATATAGTTTTGTGGAGAGATATTGGCTTGCAAGAAACCCATGTTTAGCAAATTTCGTCGCTATATTCGTATGTTTAAGCCAGTAATCAGAATTATAGTAATTTTCAAGCGGGGTAGGGCCAATTGTGGTTCTATGTCCGACATAATTCAGAATTTTATTTCGTAGGTCAAAAAACTGACTTATGCTAAATTTTGTACCATTTGCTTCATAAACAACGAATTTGTGAATGTTTGAAGCTTTTTACACAATATTCCGGGGGTACATTTGTATGGGGGCTATGTGAAATCGTTGACCGATTTTTCCCATTTTCAATACCAAACATTTCTGATCAATAAAAAATATTTTGGGAAAATATCATCTCAATATCTCTTTTTTTGTGGACGCTATCGTGCCAACAACAGACAGACGGACAGACGGACGGACATAGCTAGATCGTCTTAGAATCTTACGAGGTCCCAGAATATATATACTTTATGGGGTCTGTGAACAATATTTCGATGTGTTACACACGGAATGACAAAATCAATATACCCCCATCTTTTTTGATGGTGGGTATAAAAAGTACCTTTTAAGAACGAAAAAGTACCAAAAAGTTGCGTTTTATAGGTTCTCACTTACTCTCACTAACTCTATACTAACGACTGAAGAACGAATAAGTACTTTTTACAGAACTAGAACAGAACCATAACGGAACTAGAACAGTTTTTTAAAAAATATCCTATTTTTCCAGATTTTAATTTCACACTAAATACCAACGTACACACATACATATGTATGAGGCATTTCAGTTTATTTTATTTTATTTATCTTGTTATATATATATTTGTTGATTCCTTTGATTTCTTATAGAAACCATTAACATTGCTTTTGGTGGTTCCATTTAATACTCTTGTGTCGGACAGTAAAGCACCTGTTAAAATATATAAAGTTTCATTGTTTCACTAGTGTTTTTATTTCAAACATATTTTCGCATTTTTTTTCAAAGAGTTTTATTTGTATAAATTTATATATAAATAAAAAGTTGTACATTTTAATTAAAATTCTTTTTGTTTAATATATGAAGGATACTGAGAAATAAAAATATAATACACAGACACAGATTCATGCCAGAAGTAACTTAAATAAAGAAATTCTTTAGAGTAGAGTAGGTTAAAAATAAAATGGTATATAAAATAAAAATATAATGTTTATATAAAAAAATGGAAAAATAAAGAAAACAAATGAACAGCGTGAAATAAATGAAAATATTGGGATTTTATATAAAAACTGAATATATTGATTACAGTGGGGAAACACAAAAGGAAATATTGGAATGCAAGTTGTTAAAAAAATACACAAGAGGAAGGAACAGAAACCTTCTCTTACCATGAGCAGTCAATAAATAACTAGAACAGAACTAGAAAAGAACTAGAACAGACCAGAAGGAGAACTAGACACACCTGAACAGAACTAGAACAGAACTGGAACAGAAATGGAACAGAACTAGAACAGAACTAGAACAGAACTGGAACAGAACTAGAACAGAACTAGAACAGAACTAGAACAGAACTAGAACAGAACTAGAACAGAACTAGAACAGAACTAGAACAGAACTAGAACTAGAACAGAACTAGAACAGAACTAGAACAGAACTAGAACAGAACTAGAACAGAACTAGAACAGAACTAGAACAGAACTAGAACAGAACTAGAACAGAACAGAACAGAACAGAACTAGAACAGAACAGAACAGAACAGAACAGAAACAGAACAGAACAGAACAGAACAGAACTAGAACAGAACAGAACTAGAACTAGAACAGAACTAGAACAGAACTAGAACAGAACTAGAACAGAACTAGAACAGAACTAGAACAGAACTAGAACAGAACTAGAAACAGAACTAGAACAGAACTAGAACAGAACTAGAACAGAACTAGAACAGAACTAGAACAGAACTAGAACAGAACTAGAACAGAACTAGAACAGAACTAGAACAGAACTAGAACAGAACTAGAACAGAACTAGAACAGAACTAGAACAGAACTAGAACAGAACTAGAACAGAACTAGAACAGAACTAGAACGAACTAGAACAGAACTAGAACAGAACTAGAACAGAACTAGAACAGAACTAGAACAGAACTAGAACAGAACTAGAACAGAACTAGAACAGAACTAGAACAGAACTAGAACAGAACTAGAACAGAACTAGAACAGAACTAGAACAGAACTAGAACAAACTAGAACAGAACTAGAACAGAACTAGAACAGAACTAGAACAGAACTAGAACAGAACTAGAACAGAACTAGAACAGAACTAGAACAAACTAGAACAGAACTAGAACAGAACTAGAACAGAACTAGAACAGAACTAGAACAGAACTAGAACAGAACTAGAACAGAACTAGAACAGAACTAGAACAGAACTAGAACAGAACTAGAACAGAACTAGAACAGAACTAGAACAGAACTAGAACAGAACTAGAACAGAACTAGAACAGAACTAGAACAGAACTAGAACAGAACTAGAACAGAACTAGAACAGAACTAGAATAGAACTAGAACAGAACTAGAACAGAACTAGAACAGAACAGAACAGAACTAGAACAGAACTAGAACAGAACTAGAACAGAACTAGACAGAACTAGAACAGAACTAGAACAGAACTAGAACAGAACTAGAACAGAACTAGAACAGAACTAGAACAGAACTAGAACAGAACAGAACTAGAACAGAACTAGAACAGAACTAGAACAGAACTAGAACAGAACTAGAACAGAACTAGAACAGAACTAGAACAGAACTAGAACAGAACTAGAACAGAACTAGAACAGAACTAGAACAGAACTAGAACAGAACTAGAACAGAACTAGAACAGACTAGAACAGAACTAGAACAGAACAGAACAGAACTAGAACAGAACAGAACAGAACAGAACTAGAACAGAACTAGAACAGAACTAGAACAGAACTAGAACAGAACTAGAACAGAACTAGAACAGAACTAGAACAGAACTAGAACAGAACTAGAACAGAACTAGAAAGAACTAGAACAGAACTAGAACAGAACTAGAACAGAACTAGAACAGAACTAGAACAGAACTAGAACAGAACTAGAACAGAACTAGAACAGAACTAGAACAGAACTAGAACAGAACTAGAAACAGAACTAGAACAGAACTAGAACAGAACTAGAACAGAACCTAGAACAGAACTAGAACAGAACTAGAACAGAACTAGAACAGAACTAGAACAGAACTAGAACAGAACTAGAACAGAACTAGAACCAGAACTGACAGAACTAGAACAGAACTAGAACAGAACTAGAACAGAACTAGAACAGAACTAGAACAGAACTAGAACAGAACTAGAACAGAACTAGAACAGAACTAGAACAGAACTAGAACAGAACTAGAACAGAACTAGAACAGAACTAGAACAGAACTAGAACAGAACTAGAACAGAACTAGAACAGAACTAGAACAGAACTAGAACAGCAGAACAGAACTAGACAGAACTAGAACAGAACTAGAACAGAACTAGAACAGAACTAGAACAGAACTAGAACAGAACTAGAACAGAACTAGAACAGAACTAGAACAGAACTAGAACAGAACTAGAACAGAACTAGAACAGAACTAGAACAGAACTAGAACAGAACTAGAACAGAACTAGAACAGAACTAGAACAGAACTAGAACAGAACTAGAACAGAACTAGAACAGAACTAGAACAGAACTAGAACAGAACTAGAACAGAACTAGAACAGAACTAGAACAGAACTAGAACAGAACTAGAACAGACTAGAACAGAACTAGAACAAACAAGAACCAAAGTAGAACTGAACAAACATTTTAATATTTCATCTTTTTGGAATTTTTAAAACTTTTCTTCAATTAAATATATTTTGTACTTTTCATTACATTACCTTTAAAAACACCTTGTTTATAATTTTATTTCCTGTTAAAATCACCTTATTTATTCTTTTTTAATTAAAAAACGCAATGTTTTTTCTCATGTTAAATTTACCATAAATATTTTTATTTTGAGAATTTTTTTCCTCGCCGGCAAAAGAAGACCAAAGAGTTTAAATTACACTTGAGGAGAACATTTTATGGTTTTTCTCTTTACAAGTAAAAAGCTGTTTAAAATTAAACGGTAGTTGTTAACAAGAGATTAAAAAAATGAAAAAAAGAACAAGTAATAAAGTGATAAAAAGATAAATTAAAAAGTTTTGAAAATGTGGTTGATATTTAAATAGGAAACTACATACTTACTATTTTGTAAAGGTTTTAATTTACAAAAAAAGAAAAAATATCTTAAAATAATAACACTTTTGCGTTATCCTTAATTTTGTTTAATATCTTTTATTTAACCTAAATAAACATATACCTAATTATAGCATTTACATAGCATTATTATCCTGTTTCGTTTCACTGGAAGATTCAGTTTCATCTGTATTTTCTGCCTCATCCGCTTGTCCACCTTCATCTGTGTACTCTGTTTCATATAAATTTTCCTTCACCTCACTACTCGTCTCTTGAGCCTGGATATCCTTATTTATACCCTCATCTCCTACATGGTCCGTGGGCAATTTATCTATGGCATCTAATATGAATTTCAGTGAGTGTCCAGTACGTGGCAAATATTCTAACCAGCTTTTCGATTGTGCCTTTTTCTCTACACCCGCATCATCATCTACGAAGTCCAAATCGCCTCCAGACAGAGAACGTGCTCCACCCAAATAATCCGTATAATCGTAATCACTTACCAGTGGATTTACTTTGGAATAATAGATGGCTGCAAAAGTGGAGTATATAATCAAAATGGCAGTTCCGACCTGAAAAAGAAATTAAATTTTTAAATTTTGATAAGTTGTTATTGATTCAGGCGAATATAACTGTTGAAATTTTTCACTTTCTCAAAAATATTTCTGTATAATCCTGCTATCTACTATATCATTCATATAACCCAATTTCCTGACATTCAATGTATTTTTCAATTCTCTTAATTTCTTCTCACTGACTTCATTTCAATAAATCAAAAATTTTACTAAAACACAGACAATTTCATAAATCCTCATCACCACATTCATTTTGCCCTTTGTTCAACATAATAAGTAATACGAATGTAAATATGGTCGAACAAGACCGACTATATTACAAATTGCAGAACTAGAACTGAACTAGAACTGAACTAGAACTGAACTAGAACTGAACTAGAACTGAACTAGAACTGAACTAGAACTGAACTAGAACTGAACTAGAACTAACTAGAACTGAACTAGAACTGAACTAGAACTGAACTAGAAACTGAACTAGAAACTGAACTAGAACTGAACTAGAACTGAACTAGAACTGAACTAGAACTGAACTAGAACTGACTAGAACTGAAACTAAGAACTGAACTAGAACTGAACTAGAACTGAACTAGAACTGAACTAGAACTGAACTAGAACTGAACTAGAACTGAACTAGAACTGAACTAGAACTGAACTAGAACTGAACTAGAACTGAACTAGAACTGAACTAGAACTGAACTAGAACTGAACTAGAACTGAACTAGAACTGAACTAGAACTGAACTAGAACTGAACTAGAACTGAACTAGAACTGAACTAGAACTGAACTAGAACTGAACTAGAACTGAACTAGAACTGAACTAGAACTGAACTAGAACTGAACTAGAACTGAACTAGAACTGAACTAGAACTGAACTAGAACTGAACTAGAACTGAACTAGAACTGAACTAGAACTGAACTAGAACTGAACTAGAACTGAACTAGAACTGAACTAGAACTGAACTAGAACTGAACTGAACTAGAACTGAACTAGAACTGAACTAGAACTGAACTAGAACTGAACTAGAACTGAACTAGAACTGAAACTAGAACTGAACTAGAACTGCTGAACTAGAACTTGAACTAGAATGAACTAGAAATGAACTAGAACTGAACTAGAACTGAACTAGAACTGAACTAGAAACTGAACTAGAACTGAACTAGAACTGAACTAGAACTGAACTAGAAACTGAACTAGAACTGAACTAGAAAGAACTGAACTAGAACTGAACTAGAACTGAACTAGAACTGAACTAGAACTGAACTAGAAGAACTGAAACTAGAACTGAACTAGAACTGAACTAGAACTGAACTAGAACTGAACTAGAACTGAAGAACTGAAACTAGAACTGAACTAGAACTGAACTAGAACTGAACTAGAACTGAACTAGAACTGAACTAGAAGAACTAGAACTGAACTAGAACTGAACTAGAACTGAACTAGAAACTGAACTAGAACTGAACTAGAACTGAACTAGAACTGAACTAGAACTGAACTAGAACTGAACTAGAACTGAACTATAGAACTGAACTAGAACTGAACTAGAACTGAACTAGAACTGAACTAGAACTGAACTAGAACTGAACTAGAACTGAACTAGAACTGAACTAGAAACTGAACTAGAACTGAACTAGAAACTGAACTAGACTGAACTAGAACTGAACTAGAACTGAACTAGAACAGAACTAGAACTGAACTAGAACAGAACTAGAACAGAACTAGAACAGAACTAGAACAGAACTAGAACAGAACTAGAACTGAACTAGAACAGAAACTGAACTAGAACAGAAACTGAACTAGAACAGAACTAGAACAGAACTAGAACTGAACTAGAACTAGAACTAGAAACTGAACTAGAACTGAACTAGAACTGAACTAGAACTGACTAGAACTGAACTAGAACTGAACTAGAACTGAACTAGAACTGAACTAGAAACTAGAACTAGAACTGAACTAGAACAGAACTAGAACAGAACTAGAACAGAACTAGAACAGAACTAGAACAGAACTAGAACAGAACTAGAACAGAAACTAGAACAGAACTAGAACAGAACTAGAACAGAACAGAACTAGAACAGACACTAGAACTGAACTAGAACAGAACTAGAACAGAACTAGAACGAACTAGAACTGAACTAGAACAGAACTAGAACAGAACTAGAACAGAACTAGAACTGAACTAGAACAGAACTAGAACAGAACTAGAACAGAACTAGAACAGAACTGAACTAGAACAGAACTAGAACAGAACTAGAACAGAACTAGAACGGAACTAGAACAGAACTAGAACAGAACTAGAACAGAACTAGAACAGAACTAGAACAGAACTAGAACAGAACTAGAACAGAACTAAAACAGAACTAGAACAGAACTAGAACAGAACTAGAACAGAACTAGAACAGAACTAGAACAGAACTAGAACAGAACTAGAACAGAACTAGAACAGAACAGAACTGAACAGAACAGAACAGAACTGAACTGAACTGAACTGAACTGAACTGAACTGAACTAGAACTAGAACTAGAACAAAACAGAACAGAAAAGAACTAGAACAGAACTAGAACAGAACTAGAAGAACTAGAACAGAACTAGAATAGAACTAGAACAGAACTAGAACAGAACTAGAACAGAACTAGAACAGAACTAGAACAGAACTAGAACAGAACTAGAACAGAACTAGAACAGAACTAGAACAGAACTAGAACAGAACTAGAACTAGAAATTGAATGGTGAATATTGTCAATCTTATTATCCTCCGAATTATAGCACCATACAGTATAGGAAGCAAAAGGAAAGCAAGACAAACATCCAGTGTAAAACCATCATCATGCTCTTTTTAACAACCCACATACTTATTACACTCTTGTTGTTTTTGCTGTTGTCATTGTTGTTGCAATTTTTTGTTAACTTGGCCATAACTATATTACCATTGTCCTTGTTTAAAGGTAGGTACATACGTGTGTTAGTGCATGTGTGTTTGTGTGAATGAGTGTGAAGTATGGTCAACACTGATTTGTGACTTTTGTCAAGGATAAAACAACAAAATAAAAAAATAACAAAAAAATATCGAAATAAAAACTAGAGAAGAATGTCAGGTGCCAAGTTTGTATGCTTTTTAAAGCAATGACAACAAAACATTACAGTAAAATGAAGAAGAAATATACTTAACCACCTGATGGTGCAGACGGTAGATAGAGTGACATGAACCAGCAAAAAAATTAAAAAAAAAAACTTCACCCACACACACATAGTCCTGCACTTTTCTACCTGTATACATGAATAACTGCAACAATATGTGAGTGGTAAAGAGTAATAGAGCTGTTTTTTTGTTAAGGAAGACGAAACCAAAATATTTATACCACCACATCATCCACAAATGTGTTTTTATATTCTGGATTTTTTTATAGTAATAATTATTTTCGTGGTTGTTGTCAGTTATGTTGCCACTTAAAAACGTTCTGTGAATATATGCTGGCATAAACGTGTTTATTTTTTCCTGATATTCTTGTTGCAGTTGTGTTGTTTCCTCTTTATTTATGTTAAAAGGAAAGTTATTTTGACAAACAACTGTCAGCGAAGTCATATAAATAGTGAAACTAATAATTATTCTAACAATTTAAAAAGCTAATTTATATAATTTTAATTGAAAATGTTGTTTCTGGAGTCTTGATTTGTTCTTTAAATCAAAGTCTGAAGTTTTGGCTTTTCAAATATGTATAGTGTTTAGCAAATTCTTCAACCAAACACTCATTTTTACAATTCAATCCTAATATTAATCATACGCCTCATGACACAAATGAACAATTTTATTTCTTTAAACAAAAATTAAAACGAAATTAATTTTTCTTAATCCTTGCACAAAATCAACGCTTGTTTTCATACTACATATCATTGACTTCTACAAAAAGAGGTCAACCTTTAAATCAGATTAGAACTGTACGAGTTATTACTTGCTACACTATGTATTCATATAAATATTTACCATTTTGTTTTTCCTCCATCTGGTCAAAACATATTGTATATGAAATGTATGACAAATTAATTTTCTGTGAATGGTTAAATGAATGGATGGATGGATGGATGGAGAAAGGAAGAAATGAATGAACTATAAATAAAGTACATGTTGTCAGTTGCCATTTTTTTTTTTTGAAAAGTTGCAAATAGCGTGCAAAATCAAGAAAATAATAAATTCATAAAATATATAAACACTAAGTGCAGTTCTAGGTCAGACGTTAGTTTCCACATCAGTTCTAGTTCATTTCTAGTTTAGTTGTAGTTTCAGTTCTAGTTCAGTTCTAGTTCTGTTCATGTTCAAAGTTCTGTTCTAGTTCTGTTCTAGTTCTGTTCTAGTTCTGTTCTAGTTCTGTTCTAGTTCTGTTCTAGTTCTGTTCTAGTTCTGTTATTAGTTCTGTTCTAGTTCTGTTCTAGTTCTGTTTCTAGTTTCTGTCTAGTTCTGTTCTAGTTCTGTTCTAGTTCTGTTCTAGTTCTGTTCTAGTTCTTTCTAGTTCTGTTCAGTATAGTTCTGTTCTAGTTTCTGTTCTAGTTCTGTTTCTAGTTCTGTTCTAGGTTCTGTTCTAGTTCTGTTCTAGTTCTGTTCTAGTTCTGTTCTAGTTCGTTCATTAGTTCTGTTCTAGTTCTGTTCTAGTTCTGTTCTAGTTCTGTTCTAGTTCTGTTCTAGTTCTGTTCTAGTTCTGTTCTAGTTCTGTTCTAGTTCTGTTCTAGTTCTGTTCTAGTTCTGTTCTAGTTCTGTTCTAGTTCTGTTCTAGTTCTGTTCTAGTGCTGTTCTAGTTCTGTTCTAGTTCTTCTAGTCTCTGTTCTAGTTCTGTCTAGTTCTGTTCTAGTTCTTTCTAGTTCTGTTCTAGTTCTGTTTCTAGTTCTGTTCTAGTCTGTCAGTTCTGTTCTAGTTCTGTTCTAGTTCTGTTCTAGTTCTGGTTCTAGTTTCTGTTCTAGTTCTGTTCTAGTTCTGTTCTAGTTCTGTTCTAGTTCTGTTCCTAGTTCTGTTCTAGTTCTGTTCTAGTTCTGTTCTAGTTCTCGTTCTAGTTCTGTTCTAGTTTCTGTTCTAGTTCTGTTCTAGTTCTGTTCTAGTTCTGTTCTAGTTCTGTTCTAGTTCTGTTCTAGTTCTGTTCTAGTTCTAGTTCTGTTCTAGTTCTGTTCTAGTTCTGTTCTAGTTCTGTTCTAGTTCTGTTCTAGTTCTGTTCTAGTTCTGTTCTAGTTCTTGTTCTAGTTCGGTTCTAGTTCTGTTCTAGTTCTGTTCTAGTTCTGTTCTAGTCTGTTCTAGTTTCTGTTTCTAGTTCTGTTCTAGTTCTGTTCTAGTTCTGTTCTAGTTCTGTTCTAGTTCTGTTCTAGTTCTGTTCTAGTTCTGTTCTGTTCTGTTCTAGTTCTGTTCTAGTTCTGTTCTAGTTCTGTTCTAGTTCTGTTCTAGTTCTGTTCTAGTTCTGTTCTAGTTCTGTTCTAGTTCTGTTCTAGTTCTGTTCTAGTTCTGTTCTAGTTCTGTTCTAGTTCTGTTCTAGTTCTGTTCTAGTTCTGTTCTAGTTCTGTTCTAGTTCTGTTCTAGTTCTGTTCTAGTTCTGTTCTAGTTCTGTTCTAGTTCTGTTCTAGTTCTGTTCTAGTTCTGTTCTAGTTCTGTTCTAGTTCTGTTCTGTTCTAGTTCTGTTCTGTTCTAGTTCTGTTCTAGTTCTGTTCTAGTTCTGTTCTAGTTCTGTTCTAGTTCTGTTCTAGTTCTGTTCTAGTTCTGTTCTAGTTCTGTTCTAGTTCTGTTCTAGTTCTGTTCTAGTTCTGTTCTAGTTCTGTTCTAGTGTTCTAGTTCTGTTCTAGTTCTGTTCTAGTTCTGTTCTAGTTCTGTTCTAGTTCTGTTCTAGTTCTGTTCTAGTTCTGTTCTAGTTCTGTTCTAGTTTCTGTTCTAGTTCTGTTCTAGTTCTGTTCTAGTTCTGTTCTAGTTCTGTTCTAGTTCTGTTCTAGTTCTGTTCTAGTTCTGTTCTAGTTCTGTTCTAGTTCTGTTCTAGTTCTGTTCTAGTTCTGTTCTAGTTCTGTTCTAGTTCTGTTCTAGTTCTGTTCTAGTTCTGTTCTAGTTCTGTTCTAGTTCTGTTCTAGTTCTGTTCTATTCAGTTCTGGTCTAGTTCAATTCTAGTTCTGTTCCTAGTTCCTGTTCTGTTCTGGTTCTAGTTCTGTTCTAGTTCTTGTTCTAGTTTCCGTTCTATTTCTGTTCTAGTTCTGTTCTAGTTCTGTTTCTAGTTCTGTTCTAGTTCTGTTCTAGTTCTGTTCTAGTTCTGTTCTAGTTCTGTTCAGTTCTTGCTAGTTCTGTCTAGTTCTGTTCTAGTTCTGTTCTAGTTCTCGTTTAGTTTTCCAGTTCATTTTAGGTTTAGTTGTCTTTTATAGTTTTACTCTTTTTTCTTCTCACCTGGGAATGCCGCCCAAAACTTGTATGAACCTTCTGTGATGACAAATCATAATAGCCCTTCAAAGGATCTCCCTTATGTAACGTCCTTCACCCACATCCGTAGCTCCGCCTGTCTTTTATCTCTCAAATTATCCTCATTCTTACTATTCACCTTCCCACCCTTAATAGCCCTGCGTGGCTCCACTTTAGCTAACGGTTGCCTTTTAACTGACTGCACTTCTTCCTCCGAAGATGTGTACATTTCCGAACTGTTTAGTATGGGCGTTGTAGTGGTAGTAGTTGTGGTGGTTTGTTTTCGTGGATTTTTAGTAGTTTGTGTGCCATTCTTTTTGTTATTAAATTTTGGTGGTTTCTTCGAGTTAATACGTATCTGTTGCATTTGTTTGTATTTTTGCTGTGCTAGTTGCTCTTCACGATTACGACGTTCGGCTATGGTATTCCAGGAGGAGGTAAATGATTGATAAAGATCCCACATGGTTTTTAAGGATTTAAGTATGCTTAAATAATCCATTTGTGGAGCAGTTTCTTGTTTTTCTTCTATAGGAGAAGCAGTGCTGGGCGTTCTATATTGTGGTATTTGTGGTGGTATGGGACGCTTAGCATATGAATATTGGGCAGGTTGAGGTGCACGAGACTGAGGTGCCATATAGTCATAGTCATCCATATAGTTGGGATAGGGAGCACTATAAAATTAAGAACATTTTTTATTTAATTTAAAGATTTTTTTAGTTTTTATAAAATTTCTTTAAGAAATTATATTTTATTAAAGCTTTTTGTATAGTGTTATAAAGCTGCTATATTTAGCTTTTAAAATATGTATATATTGTTTAACAAAATGTTGCTCAGATTGATAGCAAGTGACTTTAAACAAATTAGGCCGGTAATTAATATTAATCATACGCCTTGTAATGAATTTTTTTTAATTTACAATTTTTGAACAATTTAACATATTTTTAAAAGTTTTATTTTTATTTTTTTATAATACTAAATAATTTAATAATATTTTTACTATAACACAAGGTTAAGTTAAATAACTTAAATAATTTTCTTACTAAATGTTTGCCCATTTGTTAAATTGTATTTAAACTTTCGGAAAACTTTGTAGCAAATGTTCGTATGTATCTTTGTTAGCTAAAATGTTATGGTATATTTGCGAACATATTTTATTGTCTGTCAAGATTGTCAAACGTTTCCTGAACTTTATGGAGGCAAGCGTGTGTGTGTATTTTCTATCTATAGCTATCTGTCTGCCTGTCTGTATGTTAGTTTCTATTTCATCTCCTTGGTTATGGCCTGCTGTTTGCCGTTAGTTTTTTGGTTGTCTTTTTTTGGAATTTTTTCGGGGTAGAAGAGGGGTAAAGCCACAGTTTTTACGCCTCGTTGCTTAACACCAGAAAATACCCTCATAAAATAGCATTGAAAAGGAAATGATAACGTTGCAAAACTTCTACTATATTGCACATGAATATGCAGCTACTACATACATACACTTGCACATACACAGACATGGCAGCAACAAAAAAAAAAAAAAAAAAGGAAAACGCCATGTATTTCCTTACTTTTGACTAATTTACCATCAAAAACTCATACATTTACAAATTCTATAGAATTTTCAAAACTCTATAGCTGTAGCTATACAACAACACTTTGTCTCAATTTCTACCATTACATCCGCGTTTGGTTGTCTATTTTTTTGTAAAAGGAAGCAGTAGGTATATGGCCCACTTGCCTGACTTTAATAATAGTCTCATGTATGTATTTGTCTATGCCTGTAAATATGCATTTAAGTTTGTGTGATTTTGTGTATTTTATAGTTTATTGATAATTTTCTGCTTTTCAGTTTTGCAATATACTGCTTTTATCTTTAGTTGCATATGTATGCGTTTTCATTTATTCTGCCAGTTGACAGGTTTCAAAATGTCTATTTGCAAATTACAAATTTACTTAAGTAGACAGTTATATAGTATTCAAGTTGTTGCAATAATATCGACATAACTATAGAACATTTATTGAGATCAAATGAACAATGAAAAGTTGGAAATAATAAAATTTTTAGTTAGTTTTGATTAAAGTTTATTTGGAAATTATATATTGAACTTAAAAAGAAAAAATTTACCTTAAACCTACAAGAAATTTAAAATTTTCTATGAAAATTCTGTAAAATTTTTTCAAGATTTTTTCTTTTTAACTCCATAAATCTTGAATTTGGCACTTTAGCCATATTATACATCATTTTAAAGCCTAAAGTCTTGGCTTTCCAGCAATATATATATTCCTAAACAAATTATTGCTCAAAACTTATAAACTTGCCTTTAAACCATTATAGCCTCAGAACAACAAATAGTTTTCAAATTTTTTTTTAAATTTTAAATGCACTAAATCTTGAAATTTTTCTTTGGCACATATACAATATTATACCTCATTTTAAAGCTTACAGTCTTGGCTTTAAAAATATATATATATTTTTAACAAAATATTGCTCGAAACTTATAAATTTTGGCTTTAAAACCTTATAGTCTCTGAAAAAAATTATTGTTTTTTAATATTTTATTTTTTGTAATTTAATAAATCTCAAATTTTTTCTTTGGCAGATGCCTAAAACTATACACCATTTTAAAGCCTAAAGTCTTAGCTTTCTAAAACTATATATATTGTTCAACAAATTATTGCTCAAAACTAAAATATTTGCCATTAAAACTTTATAGACCTTAATTAATATCAATCATACGCCTTGTAGGAAATTTTTTTTTTTTTAATTTTTTCGGCAAATGAGTAAATTTATATAAAACTTTGCATAAAAATACTTAAATTTAAGTTTATTTCAATAAATTTATTTCATTTCTTTATTAAAAGCATGAAAATTTTCCTCATATTTTAAAATTTATAAAACTTAAAAACACTTCCCATATAATCCTGCTAGTTTTTTAATTATATTTAAAATCCATAATATTCTAAAGCAAAAAAAAAAAATCTAAAATGCTTTCATCTTCCCATTACTTACTTAAAATTAATTCCATTTAATTAGTTTGTCTTTAAATCTCTTTCCATAATTACTATATATCATACGCCTAGTTAAACCATTTTAAAGCATATTTTTTTATAATTTTAAGCCTTATTTTTCTTCCTCCCCTTCTTCCTCTAAAATACCAAATCATCCTTACTAATGTTTTTATTTATATTTCTGAAAATCCCTGTTAATAAACACTTAATAAAGTTTTTTTTAGTTTTTAAAAGGTTTTTACCATTCTCTGGATGTGAGTATGTGTGTTCTCCCTAGAACACAAAACTAACAACCAAATTTACTTATTATTATAATTTTTTAAGTTCTTTAGGCAAAAGTTTATTATATGTTGGCAAATAAATTTGTGCTACTTTTTTAAACAAATTCCAAAAAGTTCCTCTATATGAATATGAAAAATATTATTTGTATTTATATTTCTGAATATATAATATCTGTGTGTACGTGTGGGTGTGTAAAAGGGAAAAAGTGTGAAAAGTTTTTAGAATAGAATATTTTACAAATTCATATATACAAGGGCAATCCTAAAAGTTCCCCTAAGATCTTGAAAATAACTAAAACAGAACTAGAACAGAATTAGAACAGAACTAGAACAGAACTAGAAACAGAACTAGAACAGAACTAGAACAGAACTAGAACAGAAGTAGAACAGAACTAGAACAGAACTAGAACAGAACTAGAACAGAACTAGAACAGAACTAGAACAGAAGTAGAACAGAACTAGAACAGAACTAGAACAGAACTAGAACAGAACTAGAACAGAACTAGAACAGAACTAGAACAGAACTAGAACAGAACTAGAACAGAACTAGACAAACTAGAACAGAACTAGAACAGAACTAGAACAGAATAGAACAGAACTAAACAGAACTAGAACAGAACTAGAACAGAACTAGAACAGAACTAGAACAGAATTAGAACAGAACTAGAACAGAACTAGAACAGAACTAGAACAGAACTAGAACAGAACTAGAACAGAACTAGAACAGAACTAGAACAGAACTAGAACAGAACTAGAACAGAACTAGAACAGAACTAGAACAGAACTAGAACAGAACTAGAACAGAACTAGAACAGAACTAGAACAGAACTAGAACAGAACTAGAACAGAACTAGAACAGAACTAGAACAGAACTAGAAGAACTAGAACGAACTAACAGAACGAAACAGAACTAGAACAGAACTAGAACAAACTAGAACAGAACTAGAACAGAACTAGAACAGAACTAGAACAGAACTAGAACAGAACAGAACAAAAAAAAAAAAAAACTAGAACAGAACTAGAACAGAACTAGAACAGAACTAGAACAGAACTAGAACAGAACTAGAACAGAACTAGAACAGAACTAGAACAGAACTAGAACAGAACTAGAACAGAAGAACAGAACTAGAACAGAACTAGAACAGAACTAGAACAGAACTAGAACAGAACTAGAACAGAACTAGAACAGAACTAGAACAGAACTAGAACAGAACTAGAACAGAACTAGAACAGAACTAGAACAGAACTAGAACAAACTAGAACAGAACTAGAACAGAACTAGAACAGAACTAGAACGAACTAGAACAGAACTAGAACAGAACTAGAACAGAACTAAAACAGAACTAGAACAGAACTAGAACAGAACTAGAACAGAACTAGAACAGAACAGAATCAGAACTAGAACAGAACTAGAACAGAACTAGAACAGAACTAGGAACTAGAACAGAAACTAGAAACATGAAACTAGAAACAGAACTAGAAACTAGAACAGAACTTAGAACAGAACTAGAACAGAACTAGAACAGAACTAGAACAGAACTAGAACAGAACTAGAACAGAACTAGAACAGAACTAGAACCGAACTAGAACAGAACTAGAACAGAAACTCGAAACAGAACTAGAACAGAACTAGAACAGAACTAGAACAGAACTAGAACAGAACTAGAACAGAACTAGAACAGAACTAGAACAGAACTAGAACAGAACTAGAACAGACTAGAACTAGAACTAGAACTAGAACTAGAACAGAACTAGAACAGAACTAGAACAGAACTAGAACAGAACTAGAACAGAACTAGAACAGAACTAGAACAGAACTAGAACAGAACTAGAACAGAACTAGAACAGAACTAGAACAGAACTAGAACAGAACTAGAACAGAACTAGAACAGAACTAGAACAGAACTAGAACAGAACTAGAACAGAACTAGAACAGAACAGAAAGAACTAGACAGAACTAGAACTGAACTAGAACATAACTAGAACAGCACTAGAACAGTATTTTTATAAGGATTTGTTTAGGGCATTTCTCAGCCGACCTTCCTCTCTTTGTATTACATACAGTTTGTTTCACATGTTTGTTTATTTAGTTAAATTGCCTATAATACTTTTGATTATACTATATAAACAAATGTGGGAATATTTGCTCTTCTAGATTTATTTACTATACAACGAAACTTATAGGAAATTTATTTTTAGTGTCTTTTATAAAATAAAGTTAGACAACAAATATTTAAATGCTAAACAAACACTTAATAAAATAAAGAGAAATCTTAAAGCAAAACTAAATAAATTGAAACAATGTGCTTTTATAAGAAAATTAGGTAAATATTTAACTATAATACATATTTGTAAGGATTAAAAAATTTAATCCTTAAAAGCAAACCCTTTAAACCTTTGAA